AGAGGACCTGACACTGTTGGGTCCTTCAGTCTGAGCAGATCTCCACCAGAGGACCTGACACTGTTGGGTCCTTCAGTCTGAGCAGATCTCCACCAGAGGACCTGACACTGTTGGGTCCTTCAGTCTGAGCAGATCTCCACCCAGGACCTGACACTGTTGGGTCCTTCAGTTGAGCAGATCTCCACCAGAGGACCTGACACTGTTGGGTCCTTCAGTTCCACAGTGGTGCAGCTCTAACTCAGATGCTGTCTGGATGAGCCACGCCTCCAACGCAGCTTGAAAAGAGAAAATGTTGAAGCCTGCGACTCTCTTTGCATTTCTCCTTGACCAAAAAACACAAACACCTGCAAGCGTAGCTGGGAGCCCCGGGCTGCAGTTGGGTTATCCTCCCCCCACCCCCAAGGCTGTGGTCCTTTCTGCAGCCACTTTAACATGTCAGGCATTGTTTCACACTGATTTTAAATCAACAACTCTAAATAACTGACGTAGTTCTTCAATTCTTAATACGCTTGCACAAATATAGTCTCAAGTAAAAAACACCGTCCACTGAAAGTAGCTAGCACTTGGTACCGTACCAGCTGCCATAACACTGTCAAGTCAATGAAAAGGTTGGAGTAAGGAGTTTCCACCTCAGTGATTGTTGGCACTGTGCTTAATGACTGCTGTGTTTAACATCTCAACAGGAATGCCTTTTTGTTTTAAACACTACCATATCCATCAGTCTGTTCAGGATGGAGTGAGCTGAACCATACAAAATTCWTCTGGTCTTACAACAGTTGCTTCACAGAGCAGCACAGTTTGGTTTGGTTTGTTAAATCTGGTTTTGACCATCAGCTGTGTGACAATAAAAAAGCTGCACAACTTTTCTGCCATCAATTCAAATGGAATCATGACTCAGAGCCACGACATCCAAGTGTTTGCCAAGGTTTGAATACGTTCAAGCTTACTCCAACTATTGTCTTCTTCAAACTAAATAGTACAAACWAATTTAGAGCTCTTGGCTGTGTTCATCTGGTGAAATGAAATAATTTCCTTTTAAATTCAAAAGGCACAGTACATGAACAGGTTTAAGCCCAGTTTGTTTCTTTAAAGCCCACAGTAAATGAAGGAAAAGTCCCAGGGTGCAGCAGGATGCATGTTAGCATCATGCTCACTCTGCAGTGTGCAAATGTCTGCAGGCGCCRGTGCTTTCCTGTGCGTTGTGCTGCACTTCCTGTAGGAGAACCTGGGCTGGTCGTGTACTGTCAGTGAAGCTACAGGAGGGTTGGTACAGTCTGGCTTACGTCAACATGTGGTTTCCACTTTCAGGCATGGCAACCTGATCCTATGAGGACTAGTTCCCCCACCAGTCCACACTACCAGAGTGGCTGTAGTTTCCTCCGTAGCCATCATTGCTGTAGAAGTTGCCCCCGAAGCCACCTGGAAAGACAAGTTTTATRTGTCAACTGGCAGAAAGCAGGAAAAGGAGTCAACACTGTAGAAACTTTRTAAATATCAGTATGCTACTGCTTTTTATCAACATTTCTGCAGTAGGTATGTAGAGTCAATAAGACTTTTTTTTAGTAAAACTGAACAAAGCTTGTGTACCTCCACCAAAGCCACGGTTCCCTCCAGCACTGCGGCCTCCACGATTGCTGCTGAAGCCTCCAGAACCACCTGGTGTCTGACGGTAGTCTCTGGCTCCAAAGCCCCCTGAGAACCTGAAAACACATCAGTGTTCATGAGAGAGGAGACAACCCTGAATACAACACATCTGCCYGTCATCACTGCAGAAAATTATAGTTTGACTTCACGTCTATAGGATAATTGAAGCTCCAGGGTCCCTTAGCATCAAAGCTGTGTGAAGCCCTGTGCCATCAGTACCTCTTGGAGCGTCCTCGGGTGCTGCTCTTGTGTTGGTGCTCGTAGGCCAGGCTCTCCAGCCAGGTAGGAACTTCCTGTTTGGCCTCAACCAGGATGTCCAGCAAATCTTTGGTTATGTTGCTGTTTTTGTCGTTAAAGAACGACGTGGCCAGACCTGAACAAACATTTCACACAACATGTTGTACAGTTAGAGCTACACTCAGCATCATGGCAATAAGCAGAGCTGTGGAAAGTGAAAAGCTGGGTCTTACCAAGGTTGCCCACACGTCCCGTACGGCCAATACGGTGAACGTACTCCTCAATGTCACTGGGCAGATCAAAGTTAATGACATGTTTCACGTTGCTGATGTCCAAACCTCGAGCAGCCACCTGAACAAACAGTAAAACTAATTTAGTAACAGAGGAAGGTGACATTCATCCTGAGTAACTTTTCACTGAGTTTTAAAGACACGTCTGACAGTGCACACACATTTTTACATGGTTTTGATTGTCTCCATTAAAAAAGCCATGTTAAAGCAGATCTACTGCAGTGTTTCATACAACCCTTTAATGAAGGAAAAAGCAAAGATAGCTTACAGCTGTAGCCACTAAGATTGGGCACTGGCCCGAGCGGAACTGATGCAGTGCCTCCTCCCGGTCTCTTTGTGATCGGTCTCCATGGATACTGGTGCAGGCGTAGCCCTCACGGTACAGGAAGTCTTCCAGAGCGTCAGCTCCCTTCTTGGTTTCCACAAACACTAAAGTCAAAGAGTCTTTGCCTGCACAACATCAGGACAGACAACAATGAGATCACAGGATCCTTCACATTGTCCTACACCTCAATGAGAAGAACCAGAACATTTGAACACTTCTGCCAAGAACTGAACTGTAGAGATGAAACAAACGCTGCAGTCTAGGGTCTCAGATTGAAAAGGTAAGGTCCTACCTGTGGCGTTGAGCAGGTCCAGGAGAAAGGACCTCTTGTCGTTCTCCTCTACCCACACCACTTTCTGGGTGATGTTTTCTGAAGTGGAGCCAACACGGCCTACTGCCAGAAAGATGTAGTCCTCCAGGAAGTCCCGAGCCAGGATCTGACGGTAACAATCAGTACGTTAACCAAGTCTACAGAAAAAAACAGAGACATCTTTCAGTCTTCAACACACCTGAATCTCTTTGGGGAACGTGGCACTGAACATCATGGTCTGACGAATTCCTTTGGGTGGCATTGTATCTTGTTCCACAATCCGTCTGATCTGGGGCTCGAAGCCCATGTCCAACATGCGGTCAGCCTCGTCCAGGACCAGGTAACTACAAACACACGTTACAGAAACTGACTGATGAACACAGGACTCAATTACTTCAGTCATATTTTATGAAGCTATACTGACTTGCAATGGTCCAGACCGATCTTGCCCCTCTCCATCATGTCAACCAGACGGCCTGGTGTGGCCACCAGCAGGTGACAGCCCCTCTCCAAGTCCCTGATCTGCTGGCCGATATCAGCACCACCATAGACCACACAAGGACGCACACGAGAGCGATAGGCAAACTGCACAGGACAAAAGAAGGATTAGCTTTACGATTTAATACTGCGTCTCACACAGATCAACCTGCTAGCTCTGAGCTCACCTTCCTGGCCTCATCGTAGATCTGCAGGGCCAGTTCTCTGGTTGGAGCCAGGACCAGGGAGAGCGGGTACTGCTTACGACGACCGTACCTGCCATTGTCCTGAAAACCACACAAACGTTTGTTACAATACAGCAAAACCCATGGTTCTGATCAATACCGATGTTCTCCACTACCTGTCCACTGTTCTTTGAAGCCTGCAGAGCATCTCCTGGTCCATCTGTGTAGATCTGACTCAGCACAGGCAGCAGGAAGGCAGCTGTTTTACCAGAGCCTGAAACACACCAACATCTGGTTCATTTCTTTAAAACAACAACAACCTTCAACTCTGATGAAGTAAAAATCTAAATTACACTTTGAAGAAAAACAACTGAATCAACAACTTTATAATGAGATCAGTCATTTTTCTTTTTACTTTAAAACTACAAAGAAAAACCAGTAAAACCAACCAGTCTGGGCACAGGCCATCAGGTCTCTCTTGGACTTGATGATGGGGATAGCATGCTTCTGGACGGGAGTGGGACGAGTGTAACGGCTCAGAGTGATGTTGCCCATGATAATCTCCCCCATGTCCACATCATGGAACTACAAATTAAACAAACACACACATCAGGAGCAAAGTCACAACAAGAACCAGTTTCCAGAAGAGGAGGAAAGACTCACACTCTCAATGTGTGGAGGGCTGTTGGTTCCTGTAGCCTCCACAGGAATATCATCGTATTTCTCAAAGTTTATCCCAGTGTTGCTTCCAGAGAAAAGCTCGCTGAAAAAATAAAATAAAAGAAGTTAGAATAAAATCTGAAGTTTAATGTAAACAACAATATTCATAACTTTAGTCTGCCTTACTGTTCCAGACGCTCATTGGGAGCAGTGGGTTTGGACCAGTCCTCCTCTCTGTAGTCCTCCACCCAGCGGCTGTTTCCTCCACCAGCAAAGCCCCCACGCTCATACCTGTGTGCATCAACACAATTATTGTATTTATACATGAACACATTTAAGTGTTCTCTCTTCCTTAGGAGGAAAATAAATAATTTTCTTTAAAAATATTCCCATGTCACATAAAAAGGTCAATTCCATACCTTCCTCTTGAGCCAGCTCCACGGTCATTAAAAAAGGCAGACTTCGTCCGATCATTGCGTCCTCCGAAGCTGTTGTAGGCAGCATCCCTAGGAGCTCCGCCCCATCCGCCATCTTTGTTTTCATAACCACCAAACCCTGCAATGAATAAACAGCTCGTTGTTTGTTTACTTTCAAACTGACTTGGTAAATCAGATGTGGGACATCCAGTGATCCTGTTTCTTACCAAGGGCAGAGCTTAAAATATCTTTACAAGCTGAAACCAACTGTTTGATTCAACTAATTTGTTTTAAATCTTTGAGATTTTGTTCAAATTATTTTACTGTACACAATAAAAGGGTGGGGGAGTACAGAGCTTACGTATACTACACTGTCCATCTAGCAGTTTGTCATTAAGGGACTACAGGATCACCCCACCTGTATTTTGTAATGGCTGATTAAACGAGGCTCCGCCCCCGTTACCACAGTAAGTGCCACACCCACCTCTATCATTGCGAGGGGGTCCACGCCCTMCAAAGCCACTATTTGTGCGGTTGTCGTGAAAACCATTCACATATCCATTGGTACGTCCGCCGTCCCATCCAGGTGAATCTTTAAAAACAGAAAGGAGAACGTGTGTGAGGAAAACACACCAACAGACGTGTAACTTTTAGCCAGCTTGTTTAAAAACACAAGAGACTGGAAACCAGAAGCACAACTGTTGTCTCACCAGTACTGCAACATAGATGTGAGGGGATCAGACCCTTCACTGTTTGAAACCAACCATTTACGTCTAAACTGTTCAGTCAGTTAGGTGATGTGCACAAAGTCTGTTTACAACCCAGTATTTATCTGTGTCAGAGATATACCACAGCAACAACAATTTACTGTACAACCAGTGTGTAATGTGAGCTTTATCAAACCAGATTCTGAAAATAAGAGCTTATTWAGCCCAAATTAACACTGGGCATATTAGGGCACCCTGAAGCCCTAATTTGTCAAAATAAATAAAAACATTTTTAAAAATAAATTATGCTGTGCTAACAACTAAATTCATATACCAACTGCATTTGATTATTTCTTTAAAATGACTACTTCTGTCAAGTGTCATCCTGTTTTTAGTCTGTTTCCTTTAAGAGAAAAAACGTTACCTTCCCACGTGCACCAGTCAATGTTTTACAAATGAACACAAACTCTGGTTTTACCATTTTACCACAAATTATATGGTAGACCTTTGGTGCATGATTAGTTGTGTTTATCACAGATGACACACACACACACACACACACAGAAAAAGATGTGACAGCCATTGTGGCTTTAGTTGACCTAAAATACATTCAACAGGACAAAAGTGTCACTCCCTCTTATTGCCTAAACATCATGTCTTAAAGGTAAATGGTACAAAAGCAGCACAGCTTACAGACACAAAACAAGAAATTTACACTAAGATACAACTATACAACTAAACTGCGCAGGTGGTCACAGTTAACCAGAGCCAACAGCTCAACATACCCTGGAGCGGTGCAGTTGGGTAGATGAAACACTACAGCATTTGTTCCCTTGATTGTATTGATGGGTCAAATGAGAGTTACCCACTGGTCACCAGTTTATTCCGTCCACCGTCACCAGTTTATTCCGTCCTCCGTCACCAGTTTATTCCGTCCACCGTCACCAGTTTATTCCGTCCACCGTCACCAGTTTATTCCGTCCACTGTTACCAGTTTATTCAGTCCACTGTCACCAGTACTTGCTCAGGATGGAGACTGGTGAAGTCAACACAATCTGCTGACTTCATCAGGTTTATACGTTGTTTTTTTGCCTTGAGACAATATTTGTTGTGACTTATATGAACACAGTGAACTGTAGTGAGACTCACTATTGATTGTGAAGGGACAACCTGAAGTCAGTGAACCATTGTAAAATTTAACAAACTTTACAACACAACATGGTTAAACCAGTTGTTGAATAATCCTTTCAAAGGTTAGTCACACACGTGTTGTAGTGCAGGTTGTGAGGTACCAACCATCATGCATCAACAGCGTTGCAAGCACTGACAAAGTGTTATTATCAGAGTTGTGTTGCTTTTAAACAATCCCTACAAAGCATGTGCACACTGATTGTGACTTTAAGGCTAAGCTCTGTTCACTGTAGAAGTGTGAAGGCTCAACATGCAGCTGCAGGTCAAAATGTACCACAGCTGGTTCTCCAACCACCAGTGTAGGCATGGTGCAAGGCCAGCTCCTGAGGGGCCAGTCCTGGGTAACCTGAGCAGAGGTAGGGAAGGACGCTATAAAAAGATTGACCCAGGAGCACTGGATGCAGCTTTACTGTTGGGTTTGACTTTACACAACAGTTACCAGTGTGACAGTCATCCCACCCTGAAGTTAAATCATTTGTGTGTTTGTGTGTGTGTGTGTTGGCTCTCAGCCTGCCATGGCTGTGGSCACTGCTCAGATGAAACTTAGGGCAAGATTGTACAGAAAATATGGGGATTAATGTATGGTGGCTAATTTTATTTTACTCTAATGGATTAAATACCTTAAAGAAATAAAGCCTACGCTGATAATTTTCTCCACTTTCCCTCCAAGATATTAATGTAGCTTTGACTGAATTTAGTCTAGAGAAATGTATCAATGAATCCTRATTAACCTGTTCCAGTTTATTTTCTAACATTTACCTTCATTACACTGGTTTTGCTGGTGTGTGCAGTGACATTTCATGCATGTGAAAATGCTGTTTGCCCTCAGCACAAGCAGACAGCAGGACTTACAGAGATTTACAGGAGCCACTGAATAACAGCACTGCCTACCAGCACAAAAAGTATTTCCTGCTGTGGAATAAGAAAACAGTACAACGACAAACGGTCAAGTGTGCGTTCACACAGTACCACAACTGATAATACTGAAAATATTTAAAAAGCTAAATGGAGCTACAGAGCAGAACCTAAAATCATCATTTTAGTTTCTATGGTAACCATTTGTTACTGTGTGATGTCATATGTCAAACATTTTGACKTCTTATGTGTGTCTCTGAAACTAAATATAAAAACCATCCAGATCTGAAGCAGAGTGGAGAACCACTGGTCAGACTGGAAKAAGGTCTGACACCAGCATCAGTTTCTGTTGATTCTCCATCATCACATTAATGGAAATTAAAAACTAAATAACTAAACTGTGGAGTTTTAATGTTTAAACTGCACAATGTTGTGTGATCATAGTTTGGTGATCAGACTCAGCATGATGTCAGGAAGTGGGCACATACTGTGCAACACGAGCGTCAGACAGACCATAATGGCCTAATCTACAACTGATTTATATTTTTATCTATGTTTATGTAAATATTTTAAAAGTTTTTTATTTTTGTATTTGTTTATATTTTGATATGTTTTAATTGCTGATAATATTAACCCAACATTTTTTAAATCTGTGCACTGTWACATGGGTGGTGGTGGTGTGTGTCTCCATGAACCTGCTGTTAGTCCAGGACTGAGCCCCTCACAACTTGGTCCAGGGGACGGGTCAGACTCTTGCTAACAGTTAAACCTTGCAGAATAGTAAGCTAACAAGTAGCTAGTTTAAAGCTAAAAAATACAATTATTAGCTACAAGAAAATAATAATACTTGGAAGCTAGAAGTACATAATTAGAAACCAGACACAAAATGTATGTAAAAGCTAAAAGTAACAGAGGGCATGATGAATACTGGTACTAGAACTGAACAGTATTACCCCTACAAGTACTGCCCCGACCAAACAGACCAGTCATGTATAAAAACTTTATTTTGTGTGACCCTGCCCTCCAAGACCAATTCMCCAGAGTAAACACTGTTAACAGCCAACAAAAAACAGCTAAAACTTTATCATAGGGCTAGCTAACAGCTAAACATCACAAAAGGGCAGCTAAAACATAAAAGTAGCATGTGAGAAATAAAGTATACTTAAGACAGTTTAAAACTAAATTAGAAACTGTCAGAACAAGAAAAGATCTCCATGTATTTCTAAATTTAGCTGGCTGTGGCAGCCATCTTAAATTAGATTGTAAAGTTAACCAGCTGTAGACACACTGCCAATAAATACTTTTATTAAAGGTTCAGTGGTCAACCAGACAAATATATGTTTTAGTCAGCAGGAGACGATAAAACGCTCTGATAAAATTAAGATATACATTTATAGTAGTGGTAACTGGGGTAGGCCGTGTGTGTAGTATAAAATATTGTTACTATGTC